TATAAAAAAGTTTCCTGGAAAAATAATCCAGTATAGCCTAAAACATATGATCTCAGCAAGTTAAATAATATTTCAGTAGTGATCCAGGAACTATGTGTGTATATATATATTCCCATCACCTAATCTTAGCTACATCCTCCTATAAACCCTGCTTCTTTTTTAATGGACAGTTACTTCACTTCCTAAAATGAATACTTATTCATTTCATCAAAATCTGAAGAGACAGAAAGGAAGAAAAATATCGTAGTAACCTTGACATCTAGGAAGGTGCAGGGCACAGTAAGTTCTCCACAAAGGAGTGAATTATTAAAGTCATGAAAGCAGGGAGTTACAGTAGCAGGCGATGGCAGAATCCATCCTCTGTGCTCACCGGAATCCTGTTCTCTCCACTTAGTTCACTCCGATTTTCAAAGGAATAAAATAATCTGTAAGTTTGGAATGCTGCACGAGCAGCACATTTCCCCCCTCAGCATTTGTCTCTGAAGCCCAGCAGTACAAATTTCCTACTGGTTATTTTCGCCTTAGTGACTCTATTGTGGTTTCTCATTTCCTCAATAGTAAAATTGCACTTACTAATGATGACTTTAATATCGCCAACGCTAAAATTCATGTTTTGGTGGTTGTTTTCTCTGACAAAGTAGAGTATGATTATTTGGAAACCCTCCCTTTGAGCAGCCACATAATATTTGGTGCCCTATCTTCTTTTGTACCTCCTTGCTATTTCCTTTGTTATACTTACTGCAAGGGGCATGGTTACAAAAGAAATACTGAGACAAAAAATACTGAGAAAGTCAACAGAAAGGTAGGAGACAGAATATACTATGTTAAACATGCATTATTTTCTCATATTTTATATATCTGCCCTTTAAATAATCCAGTATGCATATAATGGCCATTTTATATCTATGACTATATACTCTATAAAATATATAACAAAACTCAGAGACATGCCATTCATAGACAAAGCATATACATGTGAAATAAGAACCATTATAAAGAGGATATTATGAGGTTCAAATGCATAACACATTAATGCATGCTTCAGTATTTATATGAGTTAATACTAGGACATCAGCAGACAGGTTAATTTGTAAATATATCCTGGATAGAGTAAAATCTGAATCATAATTTTTTAGAAAATCATGTAAATAGATTGGTTAAAATAAGCAAGGACTTTGTCAATGAGAGTGGCATGTGTAAAGAAAGTCACTATGATAGCTGTAGAAGCAGATTATCGAAGAGTTCTCTAAGCCCATTAAATATTACTAAATAAGATTTTTCAGTGTGTTAAATTTAACCAGATTGAATGTTTTGAATTTTTTCCACTGAACAACTTTAAATGATTTGCTTTTTAATGAGTCATTTGCATTTAATCATAAATTAGGAATACAACATCTTTAACTTGGTTATTTCCATTAGACTATGTTCTTTCAGGACTTTATGTTTTTCTGTAATAAAGACACAGATTCCTCAAAATATATTTCAAATGTAAATGATGAGGAAAATACTTATTTATAAAGAATCCTGGGATATATAGTACTTACAATAGCAAACTCAGAGGTGTGCAATAAAATTTCAAAAATGTTATTGCTAAACCATTTACAACTCCAGAAGACTCTTTTTAAAAGGAAGACAGAAACAGAAATTTCATAAAAGTGATTCACAAGACAGAGCTATTATTGATAGAGAAAAGCTGAATTTCTAAGGAATAGATGAATCAGAAACAAATTTATGAATAGTACATCAAAGTACATGAAATTTTTAAAAATTCATCATTTGGGGAGAACTATAATTCATTCTAGCTATAACAAGTAAAAAGATAAAAAGAAGAAAGTATATTTACATAGGATTGAACATAAATTATTTAGAATCCTTAATAATTGCCTGCCTCTTTTTTTATAGTAACAGCTTTATTGAGATTGAATTCACATGTAATAAGTCACTTTTTTAAAATTGTGGCTTTTTGTCACGCAACTAACACTACTACCTATTAAAATATTAGAATACTTTCAAAAACTCCAAAAGAAACTTGATACCCATTATCTATCATTTCCTATTTTCTCCCAATTCCCAAACCCCCAAACCCTAGGCAAACACTAGTCTATTTAAAATCTGTATGAAGCTTGATAATCTGAATATTTCATATAAATAGAATAACATAACATCTAATATTGTGTGACTGGATGTTTTTTTCACTTAGCATGATTTCAGGGTCCATGCATGTTGTAGCTTGTATCAGTACTTTACTCCTTTTTTGTTACCAAATCATATCCCATTGAATGGCAATACCAAAAAACTTTACCCATTCATCAGTTGATGGACATTTGAGTTGTTTCCACTTTTTGACTACTAGAATGCTGCTATAAATATTTGTGTACCAGTTTTTGTGTAGATATATGTTCACCTCACTTGAATATATAACCAGGAGTGGAATAGTCTTGCACAGTAAAAAATTATCATGGCCTTGTATATTAAGTAAAAATAAAACAAAAATAAACTTTAGACATGGTTTGTGGTCACTCAATGGTCTCTAGCTTTATAATGCTGTACAATTAAAGTTGATATCCTGAATTATAATCTTTAGGCACTGTAGGGGCATCAGATTGTCAGAAAGATATTAGAATCTTTGTTTACCACATTACACTTACTCAGCAGACTATTGGAAAAACATTTTTTTTTGAAATTTTCAGCAATAAGGTTTAAAGCAAATTATTATTGAATTAGACCCAATTAAAAGTATATTCACAACTTGATGGTATTCTTTTTCTTTAAAATGATGATCACATTGATAATATTGTTAAATGAAAAAATCATTTAATGATGAAATTATTCAGCAGACACTTAAACAAATTAAATTAACGTAATAGTATTTGTGTCGTAACCATAGTAGGTATTTGTACTATAATACCAGTATCTAATCCTGAGTAGAAATAATCTGATGAATCTAATGGGGTCAAAGCAATCTATATGAGAAGAATGTGTTCTACATTTTTTGTGGATGTTCTCAGACCAAAATTTGTCAAAATGCAGTATTTTCAAGCAATGCCTAGGATTAAACATAATCCTACAAGAGAGATCCACTCTCTTAGAAAATCTCTAGTACACTATACAGTATTGTTAAGTACAGGCATATTTCATTATATTGCACTTCACTTTATTGTGCTTCAAGATACTGTGTTATTTACAAATTTAAGGTTTGTGGCAACTGTGCATTGGCCACTTCTATTGATGCCTTTTTCCCAACACCATGTGCTCACTTCATGTCTCTCTACCACATTTTGGTAATTCTCAGAATATTTTAAATTATTTCATTATTATTCTATTTATTATGGTGATCTCTATCAGTGATCTTTGACATCAGTATTGAAATCATTTTGGGTCACCACAAACCATGCTCACGTAAGACAAGGAACTTAACAGATGCTGTGTGTGTTCTGACTGTTCCACCAACTAACCATTCCCTTCTTTCTCCATCTTCTTGGGCATTTCTATTTCCTGAGATGGAGCAATATTAAAATTAGGCCAATTATAACTCTATAATGGTCTCTATGTGTTCAAGTGAAAGGAAGATTCACACATTTCTTAATTTAAATCAAAAGCTAGAAATGATTTAGTGAAGAAGGCATGTTGAAAGGCAAGGTAGGTCAAAAGCAAGGCCTCCTGCACCAAACAATTAGCTTAAATTGTAAATGAAAATGCAAAGTTCTTAAAGGAAATTAAAAGTCCTGCTCCAGTGAACACACAAATGATAAGAAAGTGAAACAGCCTTATTACTGATATGGAGAACCTTTTAGTGGACTGGATAGAAAATCAAACTAGCCACAACATTCCCTGAAGCCAAAATCTAATCCTGAATGAAGTTTTAATTCTATTCAATTCTATGAAGGCTGAGAGGGGTGAGGAAGCTGCAGAAGAAGAGTCTGAAGATAATAGATGTGGGTTATTGAGATTTAAGGAAAGAAGCCATATACGTAACATAAAAATGCAAGGTGACACAGCAAGCATTGATGTAGAAACTGCAACAAATTATCCAGAAGGCCTAGCTAAGATCATTAATGAAGGTGGGTACACTAAACAACAGATTTTTCAATGTACACAATATAGCCTTATATTGAAAGAAGATGATATCTAAGACTTTAAAAGGCTAAGAAAGAGAAGTCAACGCTTGGCTTCAAATCTTTAAAGGGACAGGATGACTGTCTTGTTAGAGGCTAATGCAGCTAGTGACTTTAAGTTGAAGCCAATGGTCATTTGCCATTCTGAAAACCCTAGGGCCCTTACGAATTATGCTTCATCTACTATTCCTGTGCTCTACAAATGGAACAACAACAACAAAAAAGCCTGGATGACAACATATCTGATTACAATATGGTTTACTGAGTTCTTTAAGCCTACCCACTATTGACACCAACTGCTCAGAAAGATGATTCCTTTCAAAATATTGCTCATTGTCAGTGTATCTTGTTACCCAGGAGCTCTAATGGAAATGTACAGTCAGTTTAATGTCGTTTTCATGCCTGCTAACACAACATTCTACAGCTCATTGATCAAGAATTATAACTTTCAAATCTTACGAAATATATCTCATACGGCTATAGCTGTCATAGATAGTGATTGCTCTGACGGGTTCAGGCAAAGTACATTGAAAACCTGGAAAACATTCATCATTCTAGGTGCTATTAAAAACACTCAGGATTCACAAGAAGGGGTCAAAATATTAATATTAGCAGGAGTTTGGCAGAGTTGATTCTAATCTTTATGGAAGACCTTAATGGGTTCAAGACTTCAGTGGAAGAAGTAGCTGCAGATGTGGCGAAAATAGCAAGAGAACTAGAATTATAAGTGGAGCCTGAAGATGTGAATTGGTTGCTGCGATCTCATGACAAAATTGTAGTGGATGCTGTTACCTATGGATGAGCAAAGAAAGTGGTTTCTTGAGATGAAATCTACTCCCGGTAAAGATGTTGTGAAGACTGTTGAAATGACCATGAAGGATCTATACTCTTACATTAACTTAGTTGATAAAGAAATGGCAGGGTTTGGGGGATTGAATCCAATTTTGAAAGAATTCTTATTTTTGGTAAAATTATATCAAGCAACATTGTATGCTACAGAGAAATTGTTCAAAAAGGTAAAATCAATAAATGTGGCAAACTTCCTTGTTTTCTTATTTTAAGAAATTATCACAGCCACCCCAATCTACAGCGACCACCACCCTTATCAGTCAGCATCCATCAATATCAAGGCAATACTCTCCATCAGCAATATGTTACAACTCACCGAAGGCTCAGATAATGGTTAGCCTTCATTAGCAGTAAAGTATTTTTAATTAAGGGATTCACATACAATTTTTATACATAATGCTACACAATAATGTAAACATAACTCTATATGCACTGAAGAACCAAAAAATTGTGTGATTTGCTTCGTTGAGATATTTTCCTTATTGCAGTGTTTAGGAACCAAACTGCAATATGTCCAATGTATGCCTTTTTAACTACATTGTTGTAAATTAGTTCTCTAGAACTTATCCATCCTACATGATTGAAAATGTATGCTGTCTGACCAACATTTCCCCATTTCTTCCACATCTTCAGCCCTGGTGGTGATGTGGTAGCCAAGTGACGCATGAATTAAAGCTATAAATTACTGTGGAACATTTTTGAAGAATATTGAATATTTATATTGAAGTGACTTTGTTTGGTTGCTTTGTCTTTCACAAAAAGTTTTACTTGATTTCTACTGTGTTTTATTTCCCTGGATTCCAAGTAAGCTCACTGGTTGACTGTTTCCTGTCTGCAGAATACACTCAGAGGATTTCCTCAGGGCTTCAATGCAGAGAAGCCAGAGCTTCAGGTATGGTTTACCTGTTAACATAGAGTGTCATGTGCCTCTTATCTTTAAACTCCTTTTCCTTCTTCCTTCCTTCCTTCCTTCCTTCCTTCCTTCCTTCCTTCCTTCCTTCTTTCCTTCCTTCCTTCCTTCCTTCCTCCCTTCCTCCCTCCCTCTCTCCCTCCCTTCCTTCCTTTACTTACTTATTGTTGCTGGTTCTCAATTTTGGTTTCCCGTTGAAATAACTTAGAAAGCTATAAAGATATGATGCCTGAGTCTCATCTGTGGAGATACTTATTTAATTGGTCTGAGATGTGGTCTGGCATCAGGATTTTCAAAAATTGCTGACATGTTGCTGATGTACAGCCCATTGTTGCAAATCACTGTCTTCACTAAACCCAGCTGTATGCTATGTTCCTCTGTCTTTAAAATCAAATACTGCCCTGGCCAGGTTGCTCAGTTCGTTGGAGTGTCATACACCAAAATGATTGTGGGTTCAATTCCTGGTCAGAGCACATACCTAGATTGAAGGTTCAATCCCTGGTTGGGCACATATGGGAGGCAACTGATTGATATCTCTCTTCTCTCTCTCTCTCTCTCTCTCTCTCTCTCTCTCTCTCTCTCTCTCTCTCTCCTCTTCCTTTCTCTCTGTAAAATCAATTAATAAATATCTTTGTGTGATAATTAGGGAAAAAAGTATCTGAGATAAAAATAGACTATCAATTTAAATTGAATCCATAATCTTTACCATTAATGTTTGTATTTTGTGCCCTAGCATTATAAAAATTACCTAGTAAATTATTGCAGGGTGGTGTAACTATTTTATTTAATTTCCAAAATTGTCCAAGCATGTTTCTCACAATGTTTTATAAACACATTCCCAATTAATAGCCTAAAAACAACATGGAAATATCCTGGCATTTTCTCCTTTCTAAAGAGAATCCTTCCACTTCTGAATTTCCTCTGTGGTATCTCACAGGATAGCTGTGTTTCACCCCAGGCTTAGCTGTGGAAATGGGTTGTGAGTGACTCCAACTTACTGTGACTCTTTCTACCCCCTGCCTTAAATATGGACCCCTGCTTCAGACTGTAAAACTTCACTGAGACAAGGAAAGAATATTAAGTTAATATACTTAGAAAAACACAAGTCAAAGCAAATTAAAGATGTCCCCTCTAATTATTCTTTTGATTCCATAAAAACTGAATCAACAGTTCCAATTTAATTCTTGACAACTCTCTTGTCAATGTCTTAACATCTTGTTTGCTGACAAGTTATTTACTAGTAATCTAGAAAGTTCATTTAAATTATATAATTTCTTTTGTGTCTCACTTAAAAACTGCAGTTTTTCAGTTAGCTCTAAGAATTTCATAATATGATATGTTTTGCAGGTATAAAATGTCCCTTTAATAATTGCTGTCTCTCTCTCATTTAAAAATAGATTCCCTACTGTTATATTTGTAGTTCAACTGCTTTTGCTAGCTACCATTTTCTCTAGACTAAAATTTTGCTAGCTACCTTTTTCTCTAGACTAAAATTGATATTGCCACCCCCCAGAGCATAACATGGCTTTCCTAGTACTGAGACATAATTAAGAGACTGAATCCAGTGTTCCCTGGCTTTCTAATACTAGCTCTTTAAAATATAAATTTAGTTATGAGGTTCTGTCCCTGGGGGGAAATACCAGTGACAACCCAATCAGTTTCTGGCAGTTAAGTTTCAAATAACAGTGGGGTTTCTGTGTTGGTTCTGGGCAATTTTTCTGCTGCCAGTCAAGGATCTTCTCTTAGAAGCATTTTTTGTCAAATCTTTCTAGGGACAGACTTTTGATTGACAATATAAGATTTTACTCATTGACATGATGCCAGGTTTGTGTACAAACAGCAAGGAATTTTATTAGTAACTTTAGAATGATATAATTTAATATTTGAATATGTTAGTGTGTACTTAACTAGAATCATGTATATACACTTCTTACCTAACACTGAGCATATCTTGGCGTTTAAAATAGAATGTTTAAGTGCCTAAATGTCCTGAAGCTTTAGGACAAAGGTTAATGAAGATAAAGGAGTGATTTAAATTTATAAGGGAAGGATTTCGTCATTAGAGTTAGCACAGCTGTGGTGGTAATGTTAAAGATGATACATTAATGAGACTTTATCATAACAAAGTCCTGGCATCCCTGCTTACAAAGCTCATATTCAGTAGTAATATAACCACACCTGCTTTAGAAAAAAAGATATAAGGAAGAGAGTCAGAGTTACGCAGCTCGTAGTAATACCTTTGACTCCATAAGAATGACTTACAAAGGTGATATCTTCTTTATTTTTTAAAAAAATATATTTTATTGATTTTTATAGAGAGGAAGGGAGAAAGATAGAGAGTCAGAAACATCGATTAGAGAGAAACATTGATTAGCTGCCTCCTGCACACTCCCCTACTGGGGATGTGCCCGCAACAAGGTACATGCCCTTGACTGGAATCGAACCCGGGACCCTTCAGTCCCCAGGCCGACGCTCTATCCAGTGAGCCAAACCGATCAGGGCTATCTTCTTTATTTTTAAGGAGCATGTCCCATATTTCCACAACCCAAGTTTTGAAGCTGCATGTTCTATATACTTGTAGTGAAGCTTCATTAATGTAGTGTCCATAGTACTCTTATCAAAATAAAACTTCTGTTCATGGGAGCCCCCAAGTGGCTGCACTAATATACACCTCCCCAGTCATAATAACGTAATGTATTGGCAGGATTCATGAGCATTTCACTAGGCTTTGTCCTCTTCCCTCTTACTTGCCTCACTTAACCCGTGAGGGAACAATGTTCAGCATTACCTGTAAATAATCTCTTAGCCATTTTTTCATGAGGACCTAGAAAAAGAATAAAGTGATATTCCCAAAGTCTCCACATACAATGTGTGACACTTTTTATTTCTATAATATAAAACAATATGTCAATGATGGCACTTATAAAGTGGTATAATTTAGAGGTGATAATAGCTAAACATTATTTTGTATTATATAGGACATTTTTTTCTATTTTAATTTGACATTCTTTAAACTTGTCCAATATAATAAAAAAAATTACTTGTTTTTAATATCATTTTTAAATCTATGGATTTATGAAATTTAGAAAAGACACAAGTTTTATTCAATCCTTGCTTGTCAATAAATATCAGCAAAATATCAGTAATTCTGACTCTTCCTGTAATTATATTTTTATTCAATGTTAAATAATCATACAATTTAATAAAGTTAAGTTAATTGTATTGCAAAACCAAATTGATGGCTATGTAAAAGCCATTTGCCACAAAGTGCTTATATATTGTATATCTTTCTAGTAATTTTACTCTATAATTTTCCTTTAAAACAATCTATTTTTAATCCATAGTTCCCTAAAATGAAAGTAAGTCCATTAGATCTTCTGCTGGAGAATTGTGTTTTATTATCAATAAATCTCTGAATATATTTTACCATATATTTCATTTATTTGACTCTTAATCTACTTATTTTTACTATTGAAAATGAATCATGAATTATACTGGATTTTTATGTATTTATATTCTGTAGCATTTAGCAATTTAAGTAATCCAGTTTACCTATAACTATGATAGAAACTATCTGAATGAAATAATTCTGTGTAACACTGTCTTATACTGAGAACTGTCAGTGGTAAATCAAAATCTTTCTCCTATATCCCAAAGGTTCATATAGACCTAGTGAAACAACTTTTTAAAAAATTTATTATTATTATTAGTTTTTATTTCAGGATATCTCCCATGAATCAATGGGACTGGACTGGGGACAGATTCAAATTAGAGCCATCACCCTGGAATCAGTATATTATGCCCCTAAGGCATGTATATCATGCTTGGGATCCTCTTTCTTAGTTATATTTTCCCCAAAGAGCCTCTGTTGTCCCTCTGAAAAAAGATTTCTGATGTGTTCGCCACCAACCCCAGCTACCTTTGGGTACCAGGCTAAGTAAGCTTTGTTGTGTGACCTTGAGAAAATCATCTTAAAGTCCTGAGCTCCAACTTAAAATGAAATAGGAATAGAACATGAATCCAAATCCCTTCCCATTACTTTCAAAGGAGTATATTTTTAAATATGATATAAATTATATCTCATATTAATATTAAATTTGTTTAACAAATATTTCTTGAGCATCAACATGTACCTAAATAGCAATGTCCTCATCTCTGGGGTATTAGAGAGGGAAAAAAAGGTCCCTGAACTTGTAGAGCTTATATTCTACTGTGGCCAGCATTTTCCTGCAGCCCAAAACACTTCCCCCAGACTCATCCTAATTAGGTACCAGAGTCTGCAAAAAATCTCTGCTGACTTTAACCAATCTCTTAACAGCCTCTCTTGAGTAGGAAAGCTAACTTCAGACTTTACTTTGGAGTCCCTAAGCAAGATAAGAATGTGTAAAAAATACAAGATCAGCAACAAAACGTTTCTGAAACAATCAACATCACTATAAAATGAAGCTACACCAAATCTGTTTGAATACCAGAGTAACAAATTTAAGTTTTCATTCAGCAACAACCAAAATCACATATGTCAAAACATCAGTAAATAAATCCCTAGATACATATCAACCTGAACTTGCAATACTACATTATAGTGGAATGACACTTAAGATCCATTTTATACATATTTTTAACATTTTAAAGAAGAATGTAAGAATGATATTAGCCTACTAAATTGTAGGTGATGGATCAGCAGCCTTATTTCCACTTACCATACCTTATACATCTTCTGCTTGCTGACAGCCTACACTTTGGAATGATGGTTATGAGTTGTTCTTAAGCAACTGAGCTGTCTAATCCAGAGGTGGGTGCTCTTCTCTCCCTTCTTCTCTATGATGAAGCAGGTGTCTTCTTCTAAGGCCTCTTTTGAAAATTCTAATTTTTCCTATATTTCCCCCTATTATTTCTTTCATTTATGTGAGAGGAGAAGAACCGTTATTATTGAAATCCTATGTATCTTGAGGACCAAAGGACACCCCATTAATCATGATGTA